CCTCCTCATTTTTTTTTCTGGGTTCGCGACGCGACGCTCGGGCCATCGCGCGGATCCATCCCGCCCTTGACCCTGTCTTCCAGCCCAGCTCGTTGCTGCTCTCACTCAGCGTCCTAACGACATGAGGCCTGAATAGCTGTACAAAAGTCCAGTGTCGGTGTCGGATCGGCAAAGCATACTGACAGGCTGCGCAGATCGTGCAGAGCGAGGCGGAAGAGTCATGACCAAATGTGGCCAAGCCAAGCAAAATCCCACCACCTCGACGCGTCGCGTAAAGAACATCCGAACCGAAGCCTGCTCTTCAATTTTCCCACTACTCGCCCACACTTGTGTCGATCTCACAATTCATCCTCTTGCTCCCACGCAAAACACAAACACACGGACAGTCTTCTTTCTTTCGCAATGATGGTGAGGAAGGGGATAGATTGCATCACGGCTTCATCCTGGCGGGAACCCATCTGCGGATGGCCACCTCCTTGACAGCATAGCTCCTGCGCATGCGTAATGCCTCGAAGAACGCCGCGGGCGACTCGAGCGTCTCGGGCGGACATCTCTTGATGGACGGGACAAACACGTGGGCCAGAATGAGCGTCTTGAGCACCTGGCTCTGTACTCGATTCGTCGTACTGAACCATGTCCAGTCCTTTCGTCCCGCATTCGGGTGTGGAGCAAACGGGCTGGTTTGGGCATCTGTCTCGTCTTCGTACGACGGGATGATGACGACGGCAAACTCGGCGTGCGAAAACACAGGTCCGCGCTTGTACAGCAGCAGATCGGCGCAGAACTTGATGCCGCTCTTGACCACCCAGCCGAGCGACCGGAAGTGGTGGTAGGCCACATAGTTGATCACGAACGGGTTGTCCGGTCGTGCGTATAGCGAGGCAAGGTGTCGAGAAGCTAGCCCGTGCGAACGAAGGTCCAGCAGCGGCTGCGGTAGAGTCGATTCCAAGCACAGCTGGTAGAACTCGTCGAGCCCGAGCGGTGTGCTTGTGTGCCGACCCGTGGTGGTGCGGATGTCCAGACAACCAAACATCGACGACAGGAAGAACGCCTCGACTAGAGACAGTTGCATCCTCTCTACGTCCACAACGTCGATGTCGGAGGTGTCGTTCTCTTCGTCCTTTGCAGCAACAGTCTCGCTGGATTGACCATCGACAGTGCTGGACTGCGCAGCTTTGCGCGCCTGGCTCGCTTTCACCTCTTCAGCAAAGTACTTGAGACCTTTGATGCGCGCAACACCGGGCGTGATGTCCGGCACCTCCTCCTGTCCCGTCCAAAGCGCCGAATGTGCCTCTCCACCCATGCTGGCATCTGCATCTTGGTCGTGCGCTGCATCTTCGTCGTCGAGCTGTTCCTCGACCTGGCGTTCGATGTCGGCCATGAGTCGGTCGTGCGAGGCACCGGGGGCCCTATCCGCCTCGGTCACCTCGCCACCGAGAGCGAGGATTCCGTCGGGCAGCTGCTGTCCTGCGCGCACAGCCGCTCGTGCACGTTCGATCTTGAGCGCCTTGCGCTCCTCGCGCCTTTGCTGCGTGAGCTGCTCGGCGGTCATGCGGCCCTTGCGCAGGGCGTCGATCTCGTTGACCTTGCGCTGCCGCCACGTAGGCTCGGACCTCGACAGATTGCCCTTGCCAAAGAATCCGCGCTGCCACAGGAGCCTCACGCCCTGGTCGAGGTCTTGCACCCACACCGTGTTCAGGTTGGCGTCGTAGCAGACGGCGACTTTCTCTTTGGCTTTCTGCGAGCTGGCCGGCTTGCTCGTGGAAGAGGAAGCGCCTAGCGTCAGCAGCGACAAAAGACTCGACCATAGCGATGGTGCGGATTCATCTCCGGCAATGTCATGCTCCGAGGCACCGTCGAGTTCGACGGGGAGCGGCTTCGAGTAGAGCTGATTCTTCTGCGCCGTCGCCTTCTTGCCAGCACCCGTGACGCGGTTGTTGGGCCCCCGCCCGCCGGGCTTGGACGGCCCAGCTGCGTTGTTGTACGACCAGCCGGACGAATTGCGCTGCTTTGGCATCTTGCTGTTTGTGCACCGCCGAAGATGCTGTTGAGCGTGGGTCTGATGATGGTCGCTGTCCGCAGCCGCTTGGACTTCTGAAAAGACCCTGAATTTTCGGCGAGAGGGAGCTGAGCGGCAGTGGGCTCGAAAAAAGTGGAGTCGGATGGCTCCTCGAAAATCAGCTTAGTCACGATGACTCGGCTTTGTGGCGAACGGAAGAGCGCGGAGAAGGCTTAGTTGAGGGCCGTCATCAGTGGAAGGCGCATTGGAAGGACTGAGCCTTCCACTCCATCTCAACCAATCCGCATCACACACACCGGTCTATTGGATCGCATCACGATAGACAAGAGGAACGGATCGAACATCCGAGACAATTCTTTTCCATCTACCGCTTGAATCACACGCCATCATGTCGGTATCGGCTCCATCAAGGTCGCAGATCCTCCAGCTGTACCGCAGGTATCTGCGAACCTCGCAGTCCTTCGTAAGTGTCAACTCCATGTAGCGTCGCCTCTCAAACCCCTGTGCTGACTCTGGATGGTTCCATGTCTGGCTTTGGTCTCGATACAGTCGTCGTACAACTTCCGCACATACTTTTTGAGGCGGTCGCGCGACATGTTCCGTGCGACTCTGCTGCCGACGGAGCAAGCGGCTCAATCGTCACCGTTCTCCAAGCAGGGTTCTACGACTGCCAAGGTGTCGCCGTCCACACTGCTGTCTCCCGAGCAGCTGCGTCAGCCGTCTGGCAGTGGCGAGTCAGTCTCGGCGGCATCGCTCACCGACCAGGAGAAGCTGTCCAAGTTCTACCAGACGGCGCTCGACGACCTCAAGGTGCTCCAGAGGTCGGCACTCATGAACCGCCTGTACGAGGGCGAGAAGCTCGTGGTCGAAAAGCCAAGACTCATCATCGGCGGCGGTGGCGCGGGCCAGGAGGCTGCCGTTGGTGGAGGCGGACAGCCCACCTCCGGTCCACAAAGCTCTGGTGGCGCCCCTCCCAGCTCGTAAGCTCGTCTCCTCTCGTCTCTTTGTGGATGAATTCAGTGCATAGCCTCAGTATGTTCAGAATGCGTGGCTGCGAACAGGCATATTCTTGCCAAATGAACTTGCGGTAGGAGGAAGCGTGATGGTTGGCAACACCTGCTTGGCAGCGCCGCAACAGGTGGGCATAGCCATTGCAACATGCCGACAAATCTTGTGAGTGAGGCGACGTGATTTTAAGCTAGAGTACAAAGGAACAGAGAGCATGGATTGTGTGCACAAGGGTAAATGAGAGGGTGAAATCCTTTTGATGTGACGAGCGTATGTGGAATGTAGAGATGCGCTGCAGTAAGCGCGGGCAGTCCTTTGCGCCGGCTAGTAGTAGTATCCGCGTCCACGGCCGCGCCCTCGCCCACGGAAGGGACGGCCACGACCGCGCCCCCTGCCGCGCCCGCGCGCCGCCAGGCCGGGCATATTTGTGCGCTTGGCGGTGACCTTGATGAGCCTGCCACGAAAGAGCGACTCGTTGAGCACCATCGCATTCGCCACGAGCGACAGATCGGCAAACTCGACGTACGCGTATCCTTTGGGATGCCCCGTGAACTTGTCGCACAGGATCGTGACGCGGTTGATGGTGCCGCAGCTCTGGAAATGTTGTTGCAGCTCCTCGGGTGTGGCGCCGTAGTCGACATTGCCGACGTATATGCTCCTCGAGTCCACCTCCTCCCTCTCCTCTTCGCTAGGGTGCAGTCCGGCGCCGCCCGCTTCGCCCGCTGCTTGTTGCAGCTCGCGCAGCTTGGCCGCCTCCGCCTCCATTTCGGCTACGCGCTGCTTCATCGCCTCGATCTCTGCGTCCTCATCCGTCATGGCCGTGTTCTCTCCGCCTTCCGCAGCGGATGCTTCGCCAGTGTGGTTGTTGTCGAGCGATGCGAGCTCGCTGGTGCCCGGCTCCGAGAGCGACACTTCCTCTTCGCGTGCCGACATTGTGTGTATTGTTGGGCTATGGAGGGGTCTGGTTGTGGGAATGGAATACAGGTCGGGCACTGATTCTGGAGAAACGGATGGTGGTTGGTTGACAGGGCTGAGTCGCAAGCGGATGGCTGGATGGGTGGTTGTGGAAGGGCAGCAATCGTCAAAACGGAAGAAATGCGCACTTTGGCCATTTCCAGCCGGCTCGCGTCACGTGATGCCGAGTGGAGCAAAAGGTCCGGAGCGTACACTCGCGACACCTCCATCACCTCCCTCATCCACCATATCCAACATCGCATTCATACCCTGGGCTGCCCGCATCGCTCGCACATCCGCACTTGCACGACACCGGCCATAGCACACTTTGTCGCCATTTTCACGCATTGCGAGCTTCCGACCGCCACTTCACGCTCCTTTGGCTACACACGTCTCGACCGCATGCTCTAAGTCCACATCCGTCCAGCGGGGTGTTCTCCACTCTTGCTCACCGCGTAGCGCTCAGGCGAGCCTCGCTGCAACAGCCATGGTCGCGCGCCAGAAGCCGCCCACGGCGGCCGCCTACTCGGCGTCGTACATGTCGCTCGCCGTGCTCTCGCTGCTCTCCTCGGCCGGCTTCTCGCGGTCGTCCGCGGGTGCCGCAGATCTGCTTTCCGAGGTCATGCAGCGGTACATCCAGCTGCTCGGCTCCACGTGCGTCCAGCATGCCAACCACGCCGGCCGCACCGTCGCGTCGCCGCAAGACCTGCGCGCGTCGCTCGAACACATCATGGGCGGAGAGCCGATCGAAGAGCTGCTCGATTGGGCCGAGAGCGAAGAGCGTCTCGAGCACGCACAGGCTCAACCAACCGGCGCCAACGGCACACATGCGGCAGCGCAAAGCTCAACGGCGTCGGCGCTGCTCGACCCCATGCGGGGACAGGACCTCGTGCGTGTCCTCAACACCGGCCGCGTGGCGCCGTCGCCCGACGACGTGGAGCGAATCCACTTTGGCGCGCTCCCCGCCAAGCAGTTCGAACAGGTCGCAGCAGAGTCTCTCATCCGCGAGGGGCTCATCAATCAACTCGTCTGGCCCGCAGCACAGGCCAGCAGCCAGGAGTCTGCATCTTCGGACGAGCTTGTATTCTCCGATGTCGAGGATGCACACAGCGAGGCGTCGGACAGCGAACAGGCTGCCAACGATCCATTCTCGAGTACAGCAGGACATCGGCCGAGCAAGCGCCGGCGTGTGTCCGTCGACGAATCCGCGCAGAGCAGGCGGTTTGGCGACGCGGTCATCGACTACGTCCCGGCATATCTACCGCTCTTCCCCAGCGCCTCGTCAGCAGCCGAATCGCCAGAAGCTCCACGAGGCAGCAGGTCGGAAGAAGTGGCGACAGGCTCAAGCACGGTCAAGGCCGAAGTGGCGCCTGTAGAGGTGGATCCAGAGCATCTGCTGGAGGAGCAAAAGCGGCGGGAGCTTGCGCAGCGCAAGGCGGAGGAAGCGGCCGCGGCAGCCGCAGCAGCCGAAGCCGAAGCGGCCAAGAAGGAGGCTGCGGAGGGCGAGGGCGAGGGCGCAGCGGCCGTGCAAAAGACGGCGGAAGAGAGGGCGGCCGAGGCGGAAAAGGCGTTCGAGGCATTACAGGCGCGACGGGTGCTGCGCGATTCGTGGCTGGAGATGGTGCCGTACGACGCGTCGACGCTGGCAGCGACGTACGGCAAGGCGGAGCTGCGCGATCTGGAGCACAATGTGGCGGCGGTGTTGGGTGATGCGTCAATCGCGTCGATCGGGGCGCCGACGTCGTCGCTGCGCGCGTTTGCGGCCGACTACCAGGCGCTGGTGGAGGACAGTACGTCGAGCGGATCCGCGGGCATCTACCTGACGCCATCGGCGGCATCGTACCAAGACGCGCTAGTGAAGCGACGGCGGCTGGCGCATGCGCTGGCGGACGCATCGCGGTACGCGCCCAACGACAGCCTGTACGCCGCTGTGGCGGCGCGTCCGTCGGTGCTGCCGTTTGTGCCGGGACCCAGTTGGCTGGTCTCGACGCTTCCGCCACCGACGCTGTACGAGGACAACATCGAGGTGGCCAATGCGTTGTCGGCTCCTGTGCTGACGCCGTTGCGACCGCAGGGACGACCTGCGGCGCTGATTCCGCCATCAGGGGCGCTGGTGCCTACGCTGGGCCATCGACATCCGTCTCATTTGACGACGGGCGCGCGCGTGGTTGCGAGTGCGGAGCTGCTGAAGCGCGTATCGCGCTACGACGATCCGATCCCCATCCTGGACGACAAGCATGCCGAGCGCTTCTTCCATGGCGTACCTGCATCGCGTGACCTTCTCGGCGGATCGGGATCGAGCAGCGATCTGTCGTCCAACATCTCGTCTACACGGAGCAGTGGAGGCGGTGGATCGGGGAGTGGCAATTCGACGCTCCGACCTGCGCTCGAGAAGCTGGTTCTGCAGATGCGCGAGAAGGAGGCCGAGATCCTACCCGAGGAGGACAAGGAGGAGCTGCAGAGGAGGCAGCAGGAGCTGCAGCTGCAGCTGCAGGCGGCGATGGCGTCCGAGGGTGGCGCCAAGGACTCGGTGGTGTCGTCGGGATTGATCGCCGACAGCTATGCGAGTCGCATCCGGAACGGCAACATCACCATGGTGCATACGTGGGATTGGACGCCCAGGGATGCCTACGATACCGGCTTGCCCGGCAAGAAGGTGCGCAATCCCGGATCGAGAGGTGTGGGACCCGTGGCGCTCGAGAAACGCACCCGCACCGAAAGCGCCACTTCCGATGCGGCCGACCTCGCACCCTCTGCCAGCACGTAACAAGCATCTTTTGGAAGCAATGGCCAAAGCGGTGAATTTTGTAGATTGTCTCGCTGTATGGCTCAGGACTGTGTGCTATGTGTGTGGGACGGAGACGTGTCGGACGACAGACCAGGAGCGGTTGCAAAAGCCGCGCAGGTTCCAGGGCGAGATCTTGGGCTGCTCCACTCCAGCCGCTGTGCCTGGTCATCGCAAAAGCAGGGTTTGATCAGTAACGCTTACTTCCCTTGGTAGTCTCGAATCATGGTGTGGATTGGGGGTACTTACTGCATCTCGCAATGATTGCGTAGCTCGTGACGTCGCTTGGAACGGGCATTTGGACGTGCCACAGCGTCCATGCCCAGCTCCAGCCTGTTTGCGATGGATCCGCAGCGTCTTGATGGAGAATTGAGGCGTGGTGCCAATGCAGATCGTCGGGCAGGTTGCGAAGCAGCCCGTCCGTCTCGGTATCTTTGCCTGGATCAGCAACGAGTGCGACCCAGACGTTGGTTGCCGGCGATCCGTCCTGGCCGACAGCATAACCCTTTACAGCTGCCTTGCCGTCGGCTTGGTCGAGCAGCTCGGCATCGTGCGCAGGCTGAGTGATGGCACAACTCGCCTCGAGCCGCTGGATCGGCTGCTTCTTGTCGAGCTCGCGAGTGCGAAAGTCGCCATCCTGCGCCTTGTCCGCGTACTCCTTCTCGCCCTCTTGCCCCGTGCGAGGCGTTAGAAGCTTGTAGTCCTCACGCATGGGGGGAGAGTCGCTTGGAGACGACGAAATTTTGAGTGCGGAGAGCCACTTTACCCATCGCGCACCCACATGCCCGGGGACGACGGCCCGAAGCGGCGCGCCGTGTCTCGGTGTGAGTGGGTGGTGGTTGTACTCGTACGCTAGCAGGCAGGACTGGTTGGGGTGCATGGCGGTGGTGAGCGGGATGGACGCGGCGAATTGGGCTTGCTCGGCATCGTTTGACTTGCTCTTTTGCGCACTGAGCAGGTGCAGATGCAGCGATCTTGCCCACTCGGCAGCCTGCGACGAGCTCGACTGCTCGGATGGCTCTAATGCACTCTGCTGCTCGGAGGTGTGGTGTGCAAAGGGATCTGCTACACCCGCTGCGAGGAGCACCGCGCGGAGGGAGGCGCCGCCCCAGATGACGTTGGCTATCACCGCATTGCCCCACTGGATCCCCTCAGGTTCAGGATGCGAGTCGGCCAGCTCGGAGCGTCTGTTGCCGGCACACTCGAGTGTAGCGACCACGTGGGAGAGTGCGAATTGACGCTGGAGCTGCTCGAGTGAGAGCACACGCGGCGAGCCAGAGAGAGAGCCAGTATGCCTGTTGTCCGTGCCGTAGGCCGATACCGTCAAGGTCCAGCTTTCGGCACTGCCCCAGCTACTAGTAGTGACTTGCTCGACACTGGCAGGCAGGGCGGATTCATGGTTGCGGTTGAAGACGAGCTGGTTGGGCGTGATGTAGGCGTCGGTGAGCTTGCCCGAGAGAGGCTCTGTGTTGAGCGGCTGCAGATTGAACGTCAGAGTCAGCTGCTTGCTTCCGAAGAGCCTGATGTGAAGCAAGGTGAAGACTCACGCTTTCCTGCCTCACTACCTGCGACATGTTGACTGGGCTTGCTGAAAGAGGACTTCTATGATGGTTCAAGTGAGAGTATCTGCACAAGGCGAGGAGGCTGCATGCATGTGGGGCTTCCGATGTGGAGGGGCAGAAAGGACGTCGTGTTAGGCCTTCCTATCGAACAAAAGAAAGGGATTCGAGTTGACCGGGCGGCTTAGGTAACGCGGCTTTTCGTGCGAAATTCGGGTGACGTTGGTTGGCGGTGCAGCGTCTGAACTCGTGCCAAAAATATGCACGCTGGCTGGCTCTGCATGAGCTCCGAGGGTGCGGCGTGCTGTTGAGCCAAGCGGCCCCAACGAAAAAGTCAGGCCATTCGAGAGAGCCACACCAAAGCGGCGTGAAATCGCTCGCTGACCACACACACTGCAGCCTAGGAAGAAAGTCGCGGGTGGCCACTCCAGCCGGCGTCAGCCCAGAATTGAGCGCTATTTCCCAGTCCAACACGCTAGCCAGCCTCGACCAGCGTGTCGAGATCAACATTGCAGCTTGCTTCGTTCTGCTTGCTTCCCACCATCACGCCACATCATCACACCTGCCATCTACCTCATCATTTCTTCTCAATCATTCTGCGCACATCGTCAACAACACAATCGTGACCACGGGGCTTCTACACGCACCGACGCCCCAGCTGGTCAGCTCTTCATCACCAACCACATCGTCATCCTTGCTTCGCTTCACTTCAGACACAATGGCACCAGCAACCGCCAGCACACGCCCCGACATCATCGTCGTCGGCGCCGGTATCGTCGGATCTGCGCTCGCCTACTCACTCGGCAAGTCCGGTCGCAAGGTCGCCCTCTTCGAGCGTGACTTTGACGAGCCAGACCGCATCGTCGGCGAGCTACTCCAGCCCGGCGGCGTACGTGCACTCGCAAAGATGGGCATCGTCGACACACTCCAAGATATCGACGCCGTTCCCGTCGAAGGTTATCACGTCTTCTACGGTCCTCGCTCCGTGCCCATCCCCTATCCCAACGAGAAGCCCGACGAGGCCGGCAGAGGCGTCGTCAGCGCCAGCGGCAAGGTAGAGGGCCGCAGCTTCCACCACGGCAAGTTCGTTCAGTCCTTGCGCAACAAGGCCCTCAACCAGTCCAACGTCACGCCCTACGAGGCCACCGTGCGCGACACCCTCAAGGATGCTAGCGGAACCGTAGTCGGCATCAGCGCCACCTGGAAGAAGGCCCCCGAGGGACAGCCAGACGCCTTCGAGCTGCGCGCACCGCTCACCATCGTCGCCGACGGCTGCTTCTCCAAGTTCAGACGCACCCACGGCAGCTCCATCCAGCCCACCGTTCGCTCCAACTTTGTCGGCCTCGAGCTCGAGGATGCTCCTCTGCCTGCTCCGCACCACGGCCACGTCGTCCTCTCCAAGAGCGGGCCCGTCCTTCTCTACCAGATCGGCTCGCGCAGCACGCGCATCCTCATCGACGTCGCTGGCGAGAAGCTGCCTTCCGTCGCCAAGGGCGAGCTGCAGAAGCATGTCAACGAAAACGTCATCCCCCAGCTGCCCGAACAGCTGCGCGAGTGCGTCGCCAAAGAGATGGCCAAGGGGCAACGTCTGCGCAGCATGCCCAACTCGTTCCTCCCACCCAGCATGCAGGGGCAGTCGCAGCACGCACGGGGCGTCATCGTCGTCGGCGACGCCATGAACATGCGCCACCCGCTCACCGGCGGCGGCATGACCGTCGGTCTGTGGGATGCCGTCCACCTCACCGAGGCGCTCGGTGGCTCGGCGTGGACACCACTCGGCGGCGACGCGCCGGCTCGCAAGCCACTCGATCTCGCCGACTGGTCGACGCTCACGCCGGCGCTCCGCTCCTGGCACTGGAACCGCAAGGGTCTGGCGTCGGTGATCAACATCCTGGCGCAGGCGCTGTACAGCCTGTTCGGTGCCGACGACGAGAATCTTGAGGTGCTGCGCGAGGGATGCTTCAAGTACTTTGAGATGGGCGGCGAGTGCGTCAATGGCCCCGTGTCGTTGCTGTCCGGTCTGGCGCCGCGACCGATGCTGTTGGTGGGCCACTTTTTCGCCGTGGCGCTGTACAGCATCTGGGCGCTGTTTGCGCATCCGCGCTTCTACGAGGCCGAGAAGCGCACACGCACGCCTTCGGTGCTCGAATACCCCGCGTTGGTCTGGAGGTCGATCATGGTTTTCTGGACGGCGTGTGTGGTGTTGCTGCCCGTGGTGTTTACCGAGATGAAGGCCAACGTTCCGCGACTGAGTCCGGCGACATCGGTGAAAGGTGCAAAGGGCTCGCATCGTGGCTTTGTCACGGACAACTTCGGTCTCGTCAGCGCATCGATCTTGCTCATCGGCACGATCATGCTCTGGGGAAACACACGGGATCCTGCCACAGCAAGGAATCTCTCCAACTGGCTTGTGTTTCCCAAAGTGGCAGCTAGACCCACGTAGCCCACGCCGCTGCTCATTGCTCTAAAGTATACCCCCATCTCCCCACTCTCTACGCACGACGATACTAGAAATGCACAGCATGTTGTTTTGGTAAAAACCACGATCGCGGAGTGAGTCTACGTGTTGACGCGCGCCATCTTCTTGTCGTGGCCTTGTCGACGCGCTTTGTTGCCCTGTTTCTCCTTGTGTTTGGCTGCGCGTTGCGAGGGCGCCTGCTTCGATGCACCCTGGCCTGTCTTGGCCGCTTGAGGATTGGCCTTTGGCATTCTTCCGCCGCGACCCTTATCTGGGCCGAAGAGCTTTTCTTCTCGCGCGGCGTTGACTGTTGCGAGGTGGTCGTCCAGTTGGGCCTGGGACGCCGCTGCGAGCAGCCGATCTTTGCGCGGGTTACGATCCAGCATGACTGCCCACGACTCGAGCAGGTCGTCTGACCATCCTGTTGCATCGCGCAGCTTCTGCCTCTCTGCACTCCGTCTAGCCGCGGCATCCGAGCCGAAAGACGAAGCCCCCTGCTCGACGTAGTGGCGCAACAGCATCCGCTCCCGCACCCTTGCTTCTGCATCGTCTTCGTCGTCTGACGCGGCGCGCGTTTCGCGTCCATCCTCATCGAGGTCGAGCTCGTCTTCCACACCCACGGTGCGCGCCGGGGCCGCAAACGGATTCCACTCCTCGTCCTCGTCCGACGACTCCGCCTCGGCACGCGCCAGAATCGCCGCCTTGAGCGACGGTGTCAGCTCGTCCACGCGCGCCGTGCGCGCCGTCTTGGAAGCGGCGATCGTCGACGCGTCAAAGTCAAACGCACCAAACACGTTCGCTCGCGACTTGACCAGCGACCGCCCAACCTCGGGCGCGGGAGCCTCCACCGCAGGCGCAAGATGCGATGTACTCGCTCGGGCTTCCTCGGCCGGAGACGCGGGAACGGCGGCGCCCTCGTCGCCTTCCAGCAGACGCTGGATGACCATCTCTGCGTTCTGACCCACAAACGACGGCTGGGCAAGGATGGTGCGAAGCCGCGCCACGCCGTAGTGCGGCAGCACCGAGTCGACTGCCGCCACCACCTCGTCCAATACCCCCGTCGCCACTGTTGCTGTTGGCGCGGAGGAAGGGGGACGTGCCCCGGAGGCCAGACGCTGCAGAACAAACCATGCTACGCCGCTGAATCTGGGCACCGACGAAGTCAGCGCCTCGATGGACGACAGTGTCTCTTGGCACGCGCGGTCGTTGGTAAGCGCGGCAAGCACTTGCACACGCACTGCGGGCCACGCATCGGCCGTCGCGGCCACGTCGAGCAGAGCAGTCGAGTTGATCAGCGCGGACGACCCGCCTCGTGCCAGTACCTGCTTGGTCACGGCGAGCGCCTGCTTGAGCTCGCCCGTCAGCGAGGCGTAGCTCTCGAGGCTGGCGAGCACGAGCACGAGCAGCTGCAGCACGTCGACGCGGCACGTCAGCCACTGTGCCTGCCAGCTTCCTGCGTCGACCTGCGCTGCGTCCAAACCGAACACGTCGCTAGCTGGGCCTGATGCGCCTGCACCACCTGCAAGGCCAGCGGCGTGCGGCAGCGTCTTGTCGTACAGCCGAAAGCAGGTTCGCGCGAGCGCGGCAAGGGTATCTGCGCTGTCCTTGAGCAGTCGTGCAGGGCATGCGTTGAGGAATGCATATGCAAGCCTAGCCAGCGTACGCATCACCACAATTACACTAGCATCTTCGGGCGACGAGCCCGCGACGTTTTCCAGCTGCGCGTGCAGCCCGGTGAGGATCTGCTGCGCGTTGCTCGTGTCGAGCAGGCGTTCGAGCACCGCCACCAGCACGGGCGTTGCCGTTGGCGGCGTGACGATGGCGAGGTCGACGAGCGCGCCGTGTGTGGGTACAAACGTCCTTGCGAGGGACGGATCGCCGCGCTCGATGAGTCGTGCGAGGATCTCGACGTAGCTCTGCGCGTGTCTGTCTGCGGTGGCGGGCGGAACGAGGCTCGAGGCGGTGTGCACGGCCAGCGCGTTGAGAGACGCAGCAAAAACGCGAGCGACGTCCGGACGCTGCAGCGTGAAGCGTGCCAGCTCCGAGGTGGCGAGCCCTGCTAGGCAGTGAATGAGCTCGTGGGCCGCGTCCGTGCCGCTCGTCCCGTCAGCGGCAGCCATGCTGTCGAGCCGAGTACGAGGAGCTCGCTGGGCGAAGAGTGCAGGCGTAGAGATAGCAGCACCGCTGTGTTGGCTCGCAAATGTTCGAGAGCGACCATCCACGTCTTGCGCGGTGGCTTGATGTATGCTGATGACGATGATGATGGGAGCTGGTTGGGAGGGCTCGCTGCGACAAGTATTCCTGCCCTTGGCTGAGTTTCGAGATTCGAGCTTCGGCTTCTTCTTCTCGAGTGTGCCTGGCGTGTGATTTTGTGGAGGGCGAATCGCCGATCCGCCACCTACTTTCATTTCGCTATCTCAACTTTATACCGAACCGAATCTCGCTGTCCCACTCGCACCGCCTCAGTTCGGCACCAGATCCAAAGAAGCACGCTGGCTGCACATCGATCCGAGATTGGGCGTGAATTGAGCAGGTGTGCGAAAGTGCACGCTTGCTG